TCTCGCTTAGTTTGTTAGCGTATATATTCGCGCTTTTTATTTTCTCATTTCAAAGAATTTTAATAACTAGCATTAAAGAATTGTAAAATTTCTTCAGTGTAATTTGTAGGCACTTGTTTATATCCTCTGTGTTTTCTTTATGTGTGTACGAATGGAACGTATGGTAAATCCTGAATTGGTTTTATTGCTTAAAAGTATAATGAATAAATTTTCAACTAATATATCCTAAATTTTCAGTCTTTTTCTGAACGAAAATTTGTACAGTTCCAAAGAAATGTGCAGAATTTCATAATCATATTTTTACATTTTGAATGTAAATACTGCTTCACATTACTTTCGCAATAATTTCAGCTTTCTAGTTGTTTTGAGCAGTACAGCAAAAAATAGTATTTTGACACACAGTAATTAATTTACATTTACATTATTCTCTACGAAGATTTAAACCCGATTTGTTTACAATTAGATGCGATACATCTACCATATACCGTATTTATCTTCTTTTCAAATCGCGCCAACATAGTAATTACGCCAAATTGTTTTCTGGGCATGCGCAGTATGCGACATTCGTTTAACACTGTTCAACTCAATGTGCGGTCTGCCATTACGCGTCCCGGCGACGGCATTGCTCATTTTTCATCTTTCTTGCTTTAAAAAAATACCTAATGTCTCTTCAAGCTTTATAATCCAACAATCAATTTTTATGATATTTTGCCAGACCATTCTAATTCTTCCCTTAAAAAAAAACATTCATCTATCCGAATAAGTGTTAAATTTAACTATCCGGAAGTGTTGTATTAAATTATCCGGAAGTGTTAAATTTAATTTCCAGAAAATTTCTCAAGCACGTATTTATGAACGTATGATATCGTCTGCAATAAATAATATTTAGGTTTTCAAAAATTTAGATATAAACTTCTTACGAAACATTAAAATCTTACCAGAGTTACATTTTGCTGAATTATTTTAACATCACTTCCATGAATTTTATGAATGAGAAATAAATTCCATCCCATGGGAAATTGAGTGAATATAATGGCGTAATAAAAAGAATTGGGAAGAAGCACAGTTTTCTGCCATTTATGTAACTATAAATTGGAAATCTTTCTGAATAGTTTATGAAGACATCAAGATACACGCGCCTGAAAATATTTCGAATATTGGTTTTGGCGTTATTGCCCTGCTTTGAATGTCACTGAATCTATTGAAAAGACAGCCCACGTTTGTCACACAGCTATTTATTTCTCTGAAAAAAAGTAAATATGACGCTCAGTTGTAAGAAATTTCTGTAGCTTAAATTTTTAACGGTTGGTAAGAAAGAAGTTTAGATATTTTATTCATTCTTCAAGGAATTGTTCGCGGGAAAGAAGTGAAAACAGTCTTTTGATATTCTAAAGGGTTATTTTAATCGTAAAATATTTTCGAAATCGGACTTGACACTAAATATAAAAGGCTATAAGTTATTTTATGTTAATTAACGACTTAATATGATTTAAACCTTTACTATAATTTCTTCCCGTAGATTGTATTATTAATGATATTTCACAGATTATTAGTTATGTAGAGACATTAGGTTTTTTTTCTGGAAGCAGGAGAAGTGAAAAATGAGCAAAGCCTTCGCCGGGAATCGAACCACGGACCTCCGATTACGTGCCCAGCGTGCTGTCCGCTACACTACGAAGGCATGCTAAGATGGCGGGAGAAATACCTTATATATAGTATTAGTATTATTATATTTCCGTACATATATTAATCTACGGATTCCGTAGATTTTATGTTAATTAACGAATTATTGTGATTTAAACCTTTACTATAACTTCTCCTTTACGTAGATTATATTATTTCAGTAAGACCCCGCTTAACGCCGGGGATACGTTCCATCAAAGTAGAGCGTAATGCGAAACAGCGCTAAACGAGGCTATCTTAACATGTAAATAATGGGGTTAAGGGAAGATGGATAGAAAATTGGTTAGGTATTAAATTTAATAATGTTTTTAAATAAAAATAAAACCAAACATTTATTTCTTACAAAAATAAAAACAATACAAACGAATATACTTATAAAAACAAATAAAATTCTCAGTCAGATCATTCAGTCTATTCTGTGTTTCCAATTTTCTGCCTTTTTTGTCAAGAAGGCATTATGATAGATTGGCATATTGCATTCAATTTCGTCGTCAATCCATATAGACAGTCGTTTTTACATTTCCTCTATAATGTTATTTCTAAAACGGGTATTCTAGTTGCAGAGCTTGACGTAGTTGCATTTGCCGATGACAGTATTTTTTCTTTATTCTTAAGGTTTGGTTTATTAGATTACGGCAAAGCACTCGAGGGCTATCTGCCTTAAGGGAGGGATGCCTGCGTGGAGGACTTTCTTAGGTAACTGACTCGTATACATGTTACACATGAGAAAACCACGAAAGCACCCATGCAGCCAGCCCGTTCGCGGGATTCGAACGTCGGACCGAACTACCAGTGTTCAGCGACGTTACCGCTCGGCCGCCCTTTATTCTTAAGAATTGTCCTTATTGTTGAAGTTGCCAAATTCAATGCAGCACTAATTTAAGACTAACGTTCACCAGAATCTAATCTTCTAATCACTTGCATTTTAGTTTCTAGTGAAATGCTTTTTCTGGTTGCTTTCTTTTCTTGTTTTTCATTATTAATCGTTAAAGTATTACATACATTTATACTTACAATAATGTTCACAAATGTTTCAAATGATAAAATTGCGTCCGTACAGCACCGCACCAAACAAGAAACACAACTACACTGTTTCAGCTATGTTATTTGGAAACCTAGCGCTGCGCACAATTTCGGGGAATCCCCGGGTTGAAATACAAGAGCGCTAAACCGAAACAGCGCTAAACGAAAAAGCGTTAAGCGGGGTCTTACTCTAGTAATATTTCGTAGATTATTAGTTAAATTCGGTAGATTGTATTATAATTATTATTATATTTCCGTGCCTTATATTAACCTACGGATTCCGTAGATTTTATGTTAATTAACGAATTACTATGATTTAAACCTTTACTATAAGTTCTTTTTTTCTTAGATTTACGTAGATAGGTCCACCAGATTGGAAATTATTTGGTGTCTTTAAGCTGAGGGTTTAAATCAGGGATGGCCAACCTTTTTTAGAGAGCCAGTATCTGGGAAAAAAATATGCGTGCCAATTCATACTTTTCCAGCATATTAAAAACTAAAAGACAGGAAAATGTTATTTATAGGCTGATTATGGGATTTTTATGCAAACAGCACATTTATTTAATCTAACTCTGAGTAGAGAAGATTTTAAAAATAATATAATAAATAAAAAAAGCTCGAATTTAAAGATTCAGTCAGTTAGACCATGTGTAAAAATGAATTACTCGAAGCATTTAATCCAGATATATAAAGAGAATGTCTGTTTGTTTGTTCGCGATTAACGCAGTTACTACCATAGCTATTGTCATCAAACTTTCTACGATTCTTTTCTGGGTACTGGAAAAGGTCGACGTTCACTTTTCTCCAAACAAAAATAGGTAAAATCGGGGATATTAATTAAAATTTCTGAAAACTCTAATTTTTGTCCTTATTTTTTCCGAGTGGCAACAGTCCCGCTCACTGAGATGAAAATCTGCCTTATTTCGAGAAGCGTTGCCACTGCTCGCTTTCAAATCGTAGAGTTTGTTAATAAAAATTTTCTAAGTTTTAAAACGAAATAAAAATAGCATTGCCAAATATTAAATACATTATTCCCGATTCCAAAAATTAGTGGGAAGCCACTTCGACTGTTCCCATCTTCCTACGACTTTAATCACCCAAGATATTAATTAAAATCTCTGAAAACACTAATTTTCGCACTTAGTGTTCTGAGTGGCAGCAGTCTCGCGCGTTGGCAATAAAAATGTTTTATTTTGAAAAGTGTTGCTACTGCTCGTTTTCAAATGGCAGAGTTTGTTAATAAAAAATTTGTAAGTTTTAAAAGATCCATATATGTCTGTTTGTGGGTTTGTTTGTTCGCGTTGTTCATTTCTGATCAGTTATGATAACTGTTTTGCCACATTTAATCGACGAAAATTGAATATAGGTGAAATATTGGATAGAACTTGAACTTGTTTTATCACAAGAAACATATATTCATTTATGCAGATTCTTCATTTTTTAATTTCTTTAAATATTATACAAGGCGATAATATTTGGTAGCAACAATTTGAAAAGTGAAACAACGCTTATAGTAAATCAACGCAAAATGCCAAAACGAAATTAATAGTCCTTCTGGGTAAATTTCGATTTTGGATTAATAAAGTATTTAATGTTTGGTAATGCTAATTTTATTTCATATTTTGTAAAACATGAAAACTTTTAGCAAGAAACTCTACGATTTGAAAGCGATGACTGGCAGCATTTCGAAATAAAGTAGATTTTTATCTCCAGCGTGCGCGGCTGTTGCCACTCGGAAAAAATGAGTGCGAAAATTGCCTTTTTCAGAGTTTTTAATGAATATCTTGGCTGATTAAATCCGTACGAAGATGAAAATAGTCGAAAGGGTTACCTGCGAATTTTGGGTACATCTCTCAAAACTCCCTACCGCAACGGAGAAGATAATGTCACAAACAGTTGCCCACAGATTTTAATAGATGTTTTGAGTTTTTATGTATTTTTTCCTTGGTAAGGATGTTTTGAGGTAAGAACAAAATTGATTGAATGAGAGGTATATTTCTAATGACATTTCAAAAGGAAATAATTTTAAGTGAAGTACAGCAAAAAATGTGTGTAATTTGACGTACGAGGAAGTCATGTGGTGTCCGCATCCTATATATTAACTTGAGTGTTTCATGTTAAGGCAAAGTTATCAAAGGCGTACGTACCATCATGGCTTTTCGATTTTACTCCATAAAATTTTGGAAATTTGAAACAAGCTTTCCTGATATATATATATAAAGTGGAATTTACCTGAATACTGAATCTTACGTTTAGTAATGTATACTAATTCAATACACTTTTACTCACTGTAGGAAGTGGGACGGCATTTTTACAACACCGCTGTGGATGTACACGTATTGAGCCACGAGAGCTCTGTGGGTGCTATTCATGTCATAATGCAGCTGTCTTTCGACAACAGAGCTTTTCAGCTGGAAGAGAACCGAAACACGCAGCGCATCGACCGCATCATGTTACCCATCAAGGCTTTTCTCTTCCTTGAAATCTTCCCATTCTGCCTCGTCTTTGACTCTGGTCTTTACATCAAGACTATCGGCAAGAGTCTGCGAGCCATCATGCCGGATATCGCCGGCCGGAAGTTGCCAGAAGTCTTCGATCTTACCAGGCCGCTTATTGAATGTACCTGGGAAGCAGTAAGTGATAAAAGTTTATTGCTCTTTTTTACTATACCTAACTATACTAACTACTGTAGCTGTATAACTTTACTAATTACTATAACTACTATACCTATATAACTATAATAACCACTATACCTATATAACTGTACTAGATATTAACTACTATTTCTATATTGGATATTAAATCCTATACCTATATAACTACCTACTGTACCTATATAACTATACTAACCACTATAACTTCATAACTATATTAACTACTTACCTATATAACTATACTATGTTAACTACTACACATATATAACTAACTACTAAACCTACATAATTAACTACTATACCTATATAACTATACTAACCACTATAACTATATTAACTACTTACCTATGTAACTATATTATATATTAACTACCATTACTATACTACAGTGGTGCCCAACCTTTGGTCTCTCGCGAGCACATTTCCAAAACATCAACATTTTTGTTAAACATATTTCCTGTCTTATGTGATACACCTGAAAAATTAATTTCGGCAAATGGGTTTGAGATGAATAATAATATTGGTTGAACCTTTATGGAAATCAGAGAAGCGGAGTTCAAAATTATTTTTCAGTGCATTTAGGTTTTCCGAGTATTTCTCTGTTTCAATTGCCTCGTGGTTATTAATATGGCTTGATAAATTCTGAAAAATGGGTGAATTTTTTTTTCTTTCTTCTGATTTGTCCACAAATTTAACTTTATCTGAAAAGCAGTTACAGTCCCAGTCAATTGAAAAACGGTTTTTCTTTCCCTTGGAGATCTTTGTTTTAGTTTGTTTAGTTTAGCTGTTATATCCGTGACAAAATACAGATCAGATAACCAATTATTATCGTCCAATTCTTTATAACTTTCGTTTCCGGATTCCCAAAACTGCTTTATTGACGAAAGAAATTCTACAAACCTTTGAAGTACTTTTCTCATCCTGACCCACCTAAACATCAGAATGGAGCAATAAGATTTCATGTTCGCTATCGAGTTCATCAGTTAGCAATCAATTATTTCATAACGTTTTGCAAGATATCTCTTATTGTGGTAAATGCTTACCATATTTTAACAATTATGAAAAGTAAATAAATGGTTATTTTAAAAATAATTTTTGTTCGTAGTACCTAATCGGGCTGGCGAGCACATACAAAACGATCGGGACGACTTGTAAAAACGACTTATGCTCGCGGGCACAAGGTTGGGCACCGCTGCTATACTACATATTAACTACTATTACTACTAATATAACTAACTACTATACCTATATAACTATAATTAGAGATTAAGTTAAATTTAGTGTGTGAATGGTTGTTTGGGGATTAAGGTATATCCTAATTTTATAAAAGTTATTTTTAAACTCCTTTCCTATCTCTTCTAGTTTCAGCTTACAATTCCTTACCAGAAGAAGATTTTCGAATCGCGTTAAAGGCAAATGAGAAGTAGAGAACATTTGAGTCAAAGTTCACTGACTTCGACAGAAAGAATTAAGATTTTCTGGATAGCGCGTGTTTGCCTTTTGGCTATGTTTCTCTAAGCTGTTACTACGCTACGTGCCCTTGAGAGCTTCGCTAGCTAATTCGATATTTAGGGCCCGGCTAGTTTAGTTTTGTGTTAGCTTCGGCTAAATCTCTTTAGTTAGTCATTAGTTCAGTTCTTATTTCTTACATTTTTAAGTTTAAATCCAGGTGGAGGCTTTATTGTACGCCCTGAGAAAGGGACCATCTGTGAATCTTTATTTTGAGCAATATAGGTAAATTAACTCTTCTTGAGTTTTACGTTTCTGTTTCTGGAAATAAGCGACTGTTCGGTTAGTAGTTCACTAGGTACCTCCACACTTAGTTAATAGACAAAAAGGAGGATCCCTCCAGGCTTTTGAAACATAAATATGTAAATATTTATGACAGATCACGAATGCCTTCTGTAAGAGGCCAGATGTCATATAAAACATTAAGAGTGATAATGTTATCTGTTTTCATATTATACGTGAGAAAAATAATAGAAGCACTCAAATAGCTGATCTGTTGAATCATAAAAATCAAATATCATATTCAGTTCAAACAGCTAGAAGTTCATCAGCGGCAGAGCCGTAAAATCTCTGAACACTGATAGTTTAATCCGGATCCCGATCCCGATGAATGGCTGGTTACATTGAGGATTTAATACTTTACCCCATGTGTAACGTGCATACCAACCGGTTTTCCTTAAAGACCTCCACGGAGAGATCCCTCTCCTTACACAAATATTACTTTTTCACTTTGCTATAATCATATAAGGTATTTTTCTCCTCCTACTAGCATGCCTTCGTGGTGTAACGGTAGCACACTCGGCGCGTGTTCGAAAGGTCCGGGTTCGAGTCCTAGTGAGGGCATAGCACATTTCTCATATATCCTGCTTCAAAAAAAGGCTAATGACTCTACAATCAAATAACCGAAAACCAAAAGGAGTAATGTCTTAGTGGTTAACATGTTGAGCGCCACGTGTGTGTTTTAGGCAATCCCGTTCAGGCCACGCGCTTCGCTTAAAAGCGCTGGTGTTGTAGGGCCAGTGATTCGTATCGCGGTAGAAGATAGCAACAAGTTGTGAAAAAGAAGACATTCCGTCGAACAAAAATGCAAGAATATCTAGAAAACGACAACATAAAACTCCGAAGAAAACCGGAAAAGCCTCGAGTACGAGAATTGTAAATTATGTATGATAAAAATGCAACAGAAGCTGGTAGAGTGCCAAAAAAACTAAATAGTGTTGTCACATTTTGTAATAGCGAAGGAGAACCGTTTTTATGTTTACCGTGTTCAATGAAATCCAATGAATCAAAATTAAGTAAATTTTAAATAAACTTTGGTAATTTAAAACAGGTAAATTATTATCGTTACAACGTTAGCGTCGACGCCCTTAACAAAAGGTTGTCAGCCAAAGGCTGACCGCGACCCGGAAGTACTGCAGCCCACGATGTCTGGTGGCCTAAACGGAAATTCTAGTGTCAGCACAGATGCTCGCGGCCTAAACGAAAATCTAGTGTCAGCCACAGATTCACGCGGACTCGGCCTAAACGGAAATTCTAGTGTCAGCCACAGATGCCTCACGCGGCCTAAACGGAAAATCTAGTGTCAGCCACAGATGGCTGACGTGGCGCTCAACGTGTTAAGACCGCTGAACACTGCGAATTCCACCCGGATTCGATTCCAGGCAAAAGGATTGGCTGCATAGTTGGTTTTTACCACGTATAACGTGAATACGACAGTTTTCCTTAAAAAGTTCTTCACATAGCCATCCCTTCCCTTAGGCAAATCGCCCTTGCATGCTTTGCCGTGTTAACCAGACAACTGGTTTGATACAAATCATTTGTTTTAAATTAGCGATTTTTTTCGACTATCCAAAGAAAGTCCTTGAAAAATGTATCATTTCTTGGGCACTTCTTAAGCGCTTTACTTAATGAAGGCTAACGCTTTAAGAGGGCTCATACACATTAAACCCCTTATGATCTTCGAATTGAGATATTTTATTTACTTTAAAAGCAATTACTTCCAACATTTTACAGCTGACTACATAATATAGTTGCTTTGGGAACTAGTAACCAGAAAGTTTGTGTTGCCACAAATATTTTTTCTATTTCATCCGCTTTGTGACAAAATTTTTCGTCATGTTTCTACCTTGCGCGCATGATATTTTAAAAATGGCTAATGGTACATACTTGAAATTTGATGGAATTCTTTATATGGGCACTATTTTCTAACTAAAAATCTGATGAATATTTTAATATTAAAAAACTTTATGCATGAAAACATTACAGATTTTTTTAATAAAATACATTTTATAAACTCAACTCCAAATAAAGTAAACATTTAGCACGAAATTCTTAGAATTTTTGATTCACAGTAGTTTCCAAATGTTATAAAAGCTATATATTGAATACGGAATTAAATTATGCAAAAAAATGTTTTAAACTGTGCGCGCAAGGTGGAAACATGACGAAACATTTTGTCACAAAGCGGATTAAATTATAAAAATATTTTTGGCAACACAAAATTTCTGATGACTATTTTAGAAAGCAGCTATATTATGCAGTCAGCTGTAAAAAGTTGGGATCAGTTGCTTTTAAAATAAGTTATCCCAATTCATGCCACAGTCACATATTCGAAGATCTTATGGGTTTTAAGGTGTATGAGTCCCCTCAAATGACTAATAAGCTTTTATATTCCACAGGCCCAGCTTTATTTTTATCTTCCGATGTCAGTACGTTTAGAACAAAGATGACATATATATCACGTAGAACAATCCTGCTGGTGCCAGTGTCAGATCCTGTGATGAATGATAATGTAATGACGGAAAATGAGAATGTTTAAGAAGGATTACATTTGCAGTTGTCGCTAGTGGTATCAGATAAAATTGTCTACCGATCAAAAGATTATAAAAAAAAAGACGTTTAAAGGGTTAAGTAATATCTATGAGTGTCAAAACACACTATGTCTATTTGTGATATTAGAAGAAAAATTTTAATGCAAATTATCTTAATTTCTATTTATTTAATATTTGAAAATTTTATCAAGTGAATATATTTTATTGATTTCTTTAATAAGCAGATAGCCTAATTTGCTTTATCATAAATAAATAACACAGGCTATTTTGAGACAAAAGCCTACACTAAAATTCAAAATCTTTCAGCACTTTACGAGCATTTACCGAAGACGAGAATATGAAATCATTCTAAGGAAACAATCACATGTGACAGAGTGTCTGGCAGAGCTCCAACTGTGTAGCCGGGAAAAAAATAAACTGAAAAATTCATGTTCGCTCTTTGTCGCACAGCGCCTCGGAGCTAGAATATGATCGAGCTAGAATTGATGTTTACAGATCTTTATTGATGCTTGAAGAATAGTGCACTCGAAACTAATAAATATTGTTACGAATTTTGTACGCATGTAAATCTTAGTGAAATTATAGTATTTTTTTGTATAATATAGCATGAAATGCTTGAAAGAGATGATGTTCTGCAAA